CTCAACATTTTCATTATTGAACTGAATAGTTCAATAGTTCGACCTGTTACCACAAATCTTTCAAACTGGGATTAGAATCAAGATGGCAGAACAGGATAAGGACATGTTTAAACAGATGGAGAAATATTAGCCAGTGTAAAGCAGAGAGGGCATATTCCAGGAAACAGGAGAGGACAGAACAGAAGCAGACAGGCACCTGGAGACAGACACAGGAAAGCAAGGAAAACAATGATGTGGTGTTGCAATGACTGATGACGCAGTGGCATTCAGTGAACAGCAATATGAACTCCACAGGCAATTTGAACTCCACCAGCAATAAGGTAGGAAGGGATGTTTACCGGGAACTACAGAGGTGAACCCAGACAAAGAGCTGCCCGTCCTACTGGTCTGTTTGATCTGACCAGCAGCAGCAGATCACACACTGGCGGTACAGGAATAGGGTGGATTTCATAGTCCAGTGGGCCTCCTACAACTGACATGGTACCACTGTGTTTAAGGAGGATAAGGCTATGGACAGAACTGCGTATGCACTGAGCTGAGAATGAATTCATTTCTCACTTAGTGAACTGCAAAAACATGGCATCTTACAGGTTCTACACAAGATAGGTCCAGGTACCACTCAGAGCTGATGGCAAGCAGATCAAGAACTTTACCACTGGAACATCAGGCACCATTTCATACAGTGTGGCAAGCAACTTAGGACTGCAGAGGACAACAGTGAGCTGCACATGCGCTGAGCTCAACAAGAACTCACTGAGCTCAGTTCATTGCACTGGTCCCACAGAAAAATAATCCTATGGCATCATACAGGTCAAAATCGGTATGTGTGGCCCCCAGACCTAACTGCCAACAGGTTCCAGAAAGCTCACCAGCAGCAACAACCTAGCTATATAGCACTCCTGCTGTCTCCCTGAGCCTGGCACCTGCTCCAACCATAAGTGGGAAAAAGTATATACAGACAACACTGCAGCCTCAGCCTGGTATCACAGGAGCTGGAGACTGGTGAGCCAGCAACTGGGGCTACAGAAACCTTGGTGGAAATGTAACAGAAGAACCCAGACCTGGAACTCACTGGAGGGAGTGGCACAACTGACTGCAAACAAAGAGCCATGTGCCAACTGTAACAAGTAAAATCACATTGTAGACCTGTGGGTGACACAGCTTAGAAACCTGCCCCAAGGAGAAGACTCTGCTAACCAGAAGTACAATGACCAAGAGCAAAAGAAGAGACAGAGGCACAATGAATATTCCTGAAGATGCCCCTGCAAACGAGCAAAACCCTTTGCCAGCCTCAGAGTTTACTGAAGAAGACACCGAGAAAAATTGGGAGATCCAGAATTCCAAACACTTGTTATGAATCTTCTCAACAACGAGAAGCGCGTAACACAGGAGTTCAAGCAATTCAAGGAATAGGTCGCACAAAAAAAAAAGGAATCAGGGGCCCGGAGGTACAGCCTAGCAGCTAAAGTCCTTGCCCTGAACGCGCCTGGGTTCTAATCCCGGCAGCTCCACTTCCCTTCCAGCTCACTGCCTGTGGCCTGGGAAAGCAGTCAAGGACGGCCCAAAGCCTTGGGACCCTGCACCCGTGTGGGATACCCAGAAGAAGTTCCTGGATCCTGGCTTCGCATCAGCATAGCATCGGCCGTTGCGCTCACTTGGGGAGTGAATCATCGGATGGAAGCTCTTCCTCTCTGTCTCTCCTCCTCTCTGTACATCTGACTTTCCAATAAATAAATAAATAAATCTTTTTTTTAAAAAAAAGGAATCATATGAACGCCAACATATCAGAAATGAGGAATACAGTGCAGCACATTAAAACAGTGGAGAGTCTGTAAAATAGAATGCAGGAGGCAGAAGAAAGAATCTCAGAATTGGAAGATATTTCCTGTCATCAGGGGGAAACAAACAAAAAGCTGGAAGCAGAGCCAGATCAGGCCAAAAGAGTATTCAAGAATTGAAATGCACTATTATAAGGCCAAACATAAGAGTTATGGGAGTCTAAGAAAGTGCAGAAAGAGAAGCTTGGTTTACAAATGTATCCAATGAAATAATAAGGGAAAATTTCCCTAATCTAGAGAAAGAATTGGGAAACAACATCCAGGAGGGGCACAGAACTCCCAACATGCTTGACCAAAAGCGATCTTCACCAAGACACATGATCATCAAGCTCTCTTCAATGCAACATAAGGAAAAGATCCTTAAATGTAGGGTGTGAATCAATGGATAGAAGATTTCTTCCGTCTCTCCTCCTCTCTGTATATCTACCTTTCCAACAAAAAAGACATAAATCTTTTTTTAAAAATCATTTGACCCTATGCAGACGGATTAATTTCAGGGCTCTACTTTACAGGTCTATGTGTCAGTTTGTAATCCAGTATTATACTATTTTAATTAATTTTGCTTTGCAGTATATTTTGAAGAAAGGTACTATGATACCTGCAAATTTGATTTTGTTGTTGTTATTGTTGTTCATAATTGCATTGGCATTCTGAGTGTTTTGTGATTCCTTTGAACAATAGGATTTTTTGGTAATTTTTAAAAGAATTTTGATAGGGATTAAACTGACTGTATATTGCTTTAGATACCATGGACATCTTGAAATACTGGTTCTTCCAATCCATGAGCAAGGAGCAAAGAGTATGTTTTGTTATGTTTCTAAGATTTATTTCATCATCTTCATAATTTTCACTGCAGAAATCTTTCAGTTCTTCACTTGGATTTATTCCTAAATATTGTGAATTCACTTTTTGTAGCTACAATGAATGGTATTTGCTTGGATTTCTCTTTTCACAAATTCATCATTGGTGAAGGAAAAAGCTACTGTTTTTCTACTTACTTTCTAACCTGCAAATGTACTGAATTGGTTTATCAGCTGTAACAGCTTCATAGTGGTGTGCTCATTTCTTTCTCCTACTGCTAGTGTTTCCAACACTATACTAGGAGAGGTGAAAAGTGGATATACTTGACTTGTTCTAGATCTGAGAAGAAAAGCTTTCAGCTTTTCCTCATGCAATGATATTAGCTTTTTGTCATTTGTATCGTTCAAAATTTGAAGTAGGAAGTTACTGGAAAGCACACTTCAGCAGCCTATTACAGATGGTGACTCTTGGGCTAAGACATCCAAAATAAAGTTAACAAAAACAAATGTAAACAAATGGGATTATATAAAACTTGGAAGCTTCTGTACTTTAAAGAAAGCAAACAACTGAGTGAAGAAATAGCTTCCAGAGAAAAAATGTTTGAAAACCACTTCTACAACAAAGGATTAATAACCAGAATATGTCAGCAACTCAAAAACTCAACATAAAGGGCCTGGCACGGTGGCGCAAGTGGTTAAGTCCTTGCCTTGCACGCCCGGGATCCCATATGGGCGCCAGTTCTATCCCGGCAGCCCCACTTCCCTTCCAGCTCCCTGCCCGTGGCCCAGGAAAGCAGTCGAGGAAGGCCCAAAGCTTTGGGACCCTGCACCCGTGTGGGAGACCCAGAAGAGGCTCCTGGCTTTGGATCGGCATAGCATCGGCTGTTGAGCTCACTTGGGGAGTGAACCATCGGACGGAAGATCTTCCTCTCTGTCTCTCCTCTCTGTATATCCGCCTTTCCAATAAAAAAAATAATAAAAATAAATCTTTAAAAAAAAAAACTAAACAGAAAAAAATCCCGTTAAGAAATGGGCAAAGGACCTCCATAAACAACTGTCAAAAAATATAAATAGCCAACCAAGATATGAAAGAAGTGCTCAACATTACTAGTATCAGGCAGATGCAAATCAAAAATACATCAGCCTTGAAATATTAACCTCACCCCTGTCAGAATGACCATTGCCTGAAAAACACAAAGTACACATGCTGGCAAGGAGGTGGAGAAAGGGGAACTCGAGCACTGCTGCTAAGAATGTACACTAGAACAGGACGCAGATTTCTTAAACTAGAGACAAACTTGCCATACAATCCAGCAATCCCTCTACTGGGTATACACCTGAAAGACACGAATACACTACATCAGATACCTGCCCCAGTGTTAAAGCTGTACTCTACACAACTGCCAAACTATGGGATCAACCCAGAGGCTCATCATCAAATGAATTAAGAAAATGTACACCCCCCCCCCCCACAGTACAACCATGAAAAAAGAAACTAATTCTACCATTTGCATAAAAATGAATTCAACCAGAAGTTATCACTTTCAGTGAAGGAAGTCACACAAAGACCAATATGCTTGTTCTCCCTTGTATGTGGGAGCTAAAATTTAAAAAAAGAAAAAAAGTCAAAAACCAATAAGAAATACTGCATTACCAGCACTGCTGCAAATATAGTTTCGTCAAGCTGACTTTTATATCTTCAAGAAACAAACGGTTAACAATAACATACTCATAGGCCGTCAGTTCCTTTCTGAGATGCCAGCCTAGTCTGTTGTCAGATGTACTCTTTTCATTACTTCTCTTCATTAAACTCTGCTAACATGGTCACCACTAAAAATTGATAATAATAAAGATACAGTACTATAGTTTTGATGATCTGATTATTTTAAAATTTGCATTATGCAAGAAAGACATTTTAATTTTATTATTGTTTATAGCTCTTGCCTATATTTCCTGCTGAACTAGTCCTTATACTTTTTATTTTGTAAAGTATTAGTCCTTTCACTATATTGTAAATTAGAAACACTTCCAAATTTGAAAAAGGGAAGGAACACAGGATGTAGAGAAGAAACAAGAATATCACTAAGCTCTCAGAATTCCAACTGTGACCTACTCAGAATCTCTCCGCACTGTATTAATATCACATTATTATGATAAAAATAATGTTAAAATGAAATCCATTATATTTTCTAGGAGGAAAATACCAACAAAGCATAATGACATCTCAGAAAATTCAACACACTGCACAGTAGTAAGAATGAAAGCAAACACACCGCCTACTCTTTCCTCCTTTTTCTAACAACTGCGTAATTTTCACAGCAGAAGTGGCTTACAGAACGACTGACAGTCTCGGGGTACTCACCTTAGTTTCTGCCGCAATCAGGTTTTCTCTTTCATAGTAATGCTGAAGTTGCAAATTATGTTTCTCTTCTTCCTCCTTCTTCTTTCTTTCTGCTTCTTTTCTTCTTTCTTCAGCCAAACGAATAAGCTCTTCATTTTTAAGCCTTTGCTTTAAAATAAAAATACATACTGCATATGCACATTCTACAATACCTTCAAATGTTTACTAAGTTATTTGTCTGAAATAAAGAGGTAAAATTGAAGATGTAGAGGTCTTTAATATAAAGGTAACTATCAAAAAATCAGACATCTTCATCCTCACTCAACATTTATTTTTTTTCACTTAGAAGAAATAAATGTATATTTATCTTGAATTACTCTTTCACCTTAATAAGGAATCCAATGAATGAATACCAATTTTGATATTTTTCAACTTCCAATTATTCCAGATATTCCAGGTATATCTTTCAAGTCAAATAAAGATATCACGTTCAGATTAAGTCTAAATAAACTAAAAAAGGCAGGAGATGCACCTCTTCTTCTTTTTCCTTTTTCTTCTCCTGTTCCTCCTCGTACTCTTGCTGAATCCGTGCCCTCTGTTCTGCAAGCCGCTTTTCCTCTTTCTCTTCTGCAATTCTCAGTCTCTCGCGTTCTGCTTCTTCTCTTTGTTTCTTTTCTTCAATCTAAGAAATTAAACCAAATTATTATTTTAATGATATTTAATTACTAAAGGTCAGAGTAAGAGAGAGGGTGAAAGAAAAAGCGCTCTTTCGACTGCTAGTTCACACCCCAAAAATGGTCACTACAAGCCAGGGCTGGACTAGGCAGAAGCAAGCAGCCAGAACTCCACTGAAGTCTCCCACATGAGTAACAGGAATCCAAACACATGGGCCATCTTGTGATACTTCTCAGGCTCATCCGCAGGGAGAAGGACCAGAAACAGAGCAGCCCCATCTCAAACAGGTGATCTGACTTGGCATGCCAACACTGCAGGAGGTATTTTAACCTACCGAGCTTCAATGCCAGCACCTAATCTAGTTATTATTTTGTAGAATTACTATAAAGTCAGAATACTAACTGTACTTTCCTGGTAACTTAAAACATTTAACATATGCATCCTCTTTTTGCAAATTCTAAAAAACAAGTTATTAAATTTTTTCAATTGCTCTATCAAGAAAGAGCCATAATATAAAGTATAAAAAACTAGGAGCAATTAACAGCAAGATTTTACAATCTTTGGTGATGATAATAATGTGTCTTTTAAATGAATTTTATTATTACTAAATGAGGTAAATATTATAGTGCCCAAAATCAAAATATTGAAATTTGTAAGTTACTGATATGGCAACTGCAACCATTTGTAATTAAATAAATAACTCAGTAAATTAAAAAAAAAAAAGCCTATTAACAATGCAATGGCTCAATGGCCAAATTCAAATTCTCACCTTTCAGGTGCTAGGATCCCATATGAGCACCTGTTCATGTCCCAGCTGCTGTACTTCCTTCCCATTTAGCTCCCTGCTTCCGGCCTGGAAAACCAGTAGAGGATGGCCCAAAGCCTCGAGACCCTGTACACACATAGGGGACCTGGAAGAAACTCCTGCATCCTGGCTTTGAATCAGCTCAGGTCTGGCCATTGTGACCATTTGGGGAGTGAACCTGCAGATAGAAAAATCTTCGTCTCTCCTTCTCTCTGCATATTTGTCTTTCAAATAAAAATAAATTAATCTTTAAAAAACTACAAGTTACAGCAGTTTGGCACAGCAGTTAAAATGCCACATGAAAGCCCACATGCTATATGAGAGTATTTGTGCCAACTTCTGTACTTGCGATCTACCTTCCTGCTAATACACAATCCAGGATACAGCATATGATGGCTCAACTACTTCAGTTCCTGCCACCTAGATGGGAGATCCAAATTCGGTCCCAGGCTTCTAGCTCTGGCATGACCCAGACATGGCTATTTTGGACTTTTGGAGAGTGAAATAATGGATGAAGATCTTTCAAGGGTCAAGGGCTTTAGCCATTAGGCTACCATACTGGGCCCAAAAATAAATTTTAACAGAACAGAGCTATGAGTTAAATTCCAGCTTTACTACTTACTATGTGACTATAGAGGTTATCTTAGCCTGGAAGAGGAGTGCAAGATGGCCCAAGTCCTTAGTCCCTGCACTCATGTGAGAGACCTGAGCAAAGCTCCTTTTTCCTGGCTTCAGGCTGGCCCGGCCGTGACCTTTGCAGTCTTAAGGGAATAAAAAAGCAGACTGAAGATCTCTTTCTCTAACTCTTTCAAATAAATAAAATGTTAACACATTGTATGTCATTTAGTTATATTATATTCTTAGAATTCTGTGCTATATTTTGTTTGCCTCCTCGCCCCTAAAAGTTTTTAAGATGTTAAAAAGGGTTGAAAGTCAGCATTTAAAGACGAGTCCTTAACAGATATACCAAGCAAGTTTAAAGGATAGGAGGACCAAAGGCTGCTCCTAATAGTCACATTTCCTTCAACTACTAGTCATTTTTAAGAGAAAGACTTAATATGCCTAGAAGTGTGATACCTACACATCATACTTGAAAAAAGTCACAAGACTTGGGTTCAAGCCACAACCTCACAAATGACAAGCTTTGACACTGTGAGTAAGCCTGTGTATCTGTGCTTGAGTTGTATGTCAAAAATAGAACAATCCTTTCTTTTATTTACTAGAAAATCAAATGTACAGAGAGAAGAGTACAGCCAGAAAGAAACCTCTCTGTCCGCTGATTCGCTCCCCAAGGGGCCAAAACAGCCAAAGCTTCGCCAACCCGAAACCAGGAGTCAGAGGAGCTTCTTCTGGGTCTCTCACGCAGGTGCAGGGTCTCAAGACTTTGGGTCATTCCTCATTGCTTTCCCTGGTGACAAGCAGGGAGCTGGATGGGAAGCAGGGCTGCAGGGATTAGAATCGGTGCCCACATGGGATCACCGAGTGTGTAAAGCGAGGTCTTTAGCAGCTAGGATACTGTGCTGAGCCCGAAAAATAGAACAATTCTACCAAGAGTTTTGAGGTTTAACAAAATTTGTGTGACTGTATCATATAAATAATAAAAGGCTACAGACTTACATTTCGTTTGTTTATATGTGTTGTTGGCTAAATTTTAGATTATGGCTAAGACTTGTGAAGTACAATATAAAGTACTTAAATTTTGATTTGGCAGTATTACGCACAATATATCACAGGTTCTTTAAGTTCAAAAGAGGACCCAATGTCATCTAATTTGAGAGTCCAGCTACACTGGGACCTCCAAAGCTATTCTCTCATTCAATATGAATATTCTGTCAATCCTTAGAAAGAATCCACTTCAAAAACCTAGCAAAATATCCTTTCTCTTGCACTCATTTTAATCCTCCCTTAATACATCACAAACATTAACAGCAGATCACTCATTCTTACAGACTAATTCATTATATTACTACTTCACTTACAATTTCCCCAAAAGTTAGTATTAGAGATGACAATACTGACAGATTGGGATTGGACTGGATTGTATTAAACCTCATGCTAAGGACACCAAACATTCAGCTACTCTGGGGGCTGGAGCTGTGGTATAGCAAGTTGCCCTCTGGTAATGGCCAGGAAAAAGCAGGAGATAGCTCAAATGCCACCCACATAGGACACCCAAATGATGCTCCTGGCTCTGACCAAGCACCTGCAGCATCCAGAAAGTGAACAAGTGGACAAGCGATCTGTCTCCCTCTTTTTCTGGAACTATGACCTTCAAATAAGTAAATCTGGAAAGGAAGAGTTAGGGGGCGGGGGAAGAAAGAGAATACTATAGGTTTTGAAAACAAATTACAAAAAAGTCAAATCAAATGATGAGTCAAAAGATTCAAAAAGATTCACCTGACCCTGATATAGGTGTTGATGTGGAATGGAGGGAGGTAAAAATAAATTCTGAAAGCTTTCTACCATCTCATTCATCTCTGACTCCATGCCTTATACACAGCACAAGAGCAAACACAGTGTGAGGGCTCTCATTAAGTCCGCTTGTTTAATAAACATTATATGGGTACTCAAGGGATTGTTGGGAAATCTGTACTATTTTAAATGTTATTTGCCTAAAAACATAAATAATACATTTATTACAAAATATGATCATCTTTAGCTTCAACCTGCAGTGATATCACATCATTGAGAAATACCACTGACTTTCTATTTATAATTACATAGAAATATAATCTTTACAAGGTTAACTTATCATAAAAGTTTGAAACTATGACCAAATAAGTATTTTACCTGAAAACGAAGAAAGTTCTTATATAATTCTTGCTGTTTAATCTGAAGTTCAGTAGGAGGCTCACCAAATATATTTCCCCGAGCAAAAGGAGAGGTCTGTGTTTGACCTTGAAAGAGACATTATACAAAAAAAAAAAAAAATCACCATTACTCAATGCTTAGAAAATGTAAAAGAATGAATAGTATCCTAACACATCAAAACATTTAAAAACAGTGCTCAATACAGAAACTGAGGTTTGAAATCAGAAGACAGAGACTACAGAGAAGATGAAAATCAACAACAGTAAATAAGACAGTAAGACCTACGACACGTGATACCTAAAAGACACAAATGAAATATAAAAGCTAGCAGCCTAAGTAGTTCTTATTGAAGCAAGGGCTTTAACATAAATTAATGAAGAGCGAAAAGTATAAATTTAGGTACCTTTCTGTATAATTCTGCTCTATTTAAGATCATTTCATAAGATAGTAAAATGTATTATGTATACATATATTTATAAATATCTAAAATTGTTTTTAAAAACTGATGTCAAAATTCCTTTTACCCATTGCTTAGATAACACACACAAAGTAATATCTCTAAAAACTAGTATGAGTCTTAATCATGTGAAAGTTTTCCTTTAAAAAACTATAAAATTAATGGGATATAAACAGGAACAACAAAAATTATGTTACTTTTACAGGGTACTATGTAGTCTCATAAAAGCAACCTGAAATACTTTACAGGGTACTATGTAGTCTCATAAAAGCAACCTGAAATATAATTAAACCCTAGAAAAATCATCAAATGGAGGGAGAAAAATACCGCGCTTAGATTCAGGCCTCTCCGAATGCCCCATACTCTTTGTCAGTTACTGACTGCTCTGCTGCAGCAGCAGTATCATGCACAGAAGTCTCTCACTTAAACAGCTCTGTAAAGTCAGACTGCTTTACAGGCTAGCTGCCACCCAGGGAAGCCCTACCTTTGTCTTCTAATTTACCTGTGCTTACTCAAACAGATCAGCAGCAAGCTAAGACTGTACTTGACATTATAAATACTTCTTGTCTCTAGGAAATTTTTATACCAAAACAAACTAAACACACATTGCAATTTCTTTTAAATCTCATCCTGTGGCAAAAAGCTGATTAGCAAAACAAAATTGAATGTTATCTTTCACCTCTAATAACCAATCATATTCTAAACCTTTGAATAATTAGAAAAAAATATTAATAGAGACAGGCAAGATAAATCTTTTAGAAGCAGGTAAACTACAAAATAAAGCCACAGGGAATATTTTTACCACACAAAAAAAACTGATATAAATCCAGGCATCATATTAGCCAAAAACAAACTTAAGGTAAATTGGAACTGAACTTCATATATAGTAGCTCACTAAAAAACAAAAGGAACAAAAACAATTAACATGCCTTAAAAACGTGCCTAATGAACAAAATATTATAATGAATGCTAAGTATATGCTATAATATTCAACTTTCAGACAGATTCAAGTTCCCTAAGACCTTTAAAATAGTAAGTGCCACATTGTGTGGTTTACATGTGTGTACATTCACCTAAAAACATATACACTTACATACACACTTACACAAACATGTATTTAGCACTGTACTAATTAGGTAATTATGAATAGTTTCATAAGTTTATTTGGGGTTAATTATTAGAGCAAAAATTGTCTAATTTAGAAAACTTTAATACATGCACAGGGACATTTACGCATTTAATGGTTTCTTTAAGTGATATTTTAAAATAGAGCACCCTGACAAATGTCACGAGCATAAAAACCTGATGGCCTTACAAAAGACTACACACAGCAAATTTCGTCCTGCACATTCAAACATCATGCAGGAAAACTTGATTTCCAGTATTTCTGCTCATTGATGAAACATATTTCTAAAAGTTCTAGGCTGAGTTGGAAACATAAATAATACTGGAAATGGAAAAGAATGTGTAGAAAAAGAGTCTATGGCACTGAGATCAAAACGGATAAATAGAAGCAAAAGCACAGATAATCAGAGGCAGCAATAGGAATAAAAAAAAAATCAGAAAGAAACCAAAATTCTCTTAGCAGCAATAACACAAGCAGTGCTGTGATGGCTCCCATTGCACAAATTATGTCAAATTAAAACATGAAAAATGTCAAATATTCAGGTTTTGATGTTCAAAAATGTCAAACCTGGATGCAATGTATAAAAATCCTAAGAAAGCATTTTTTCAATAACAAGAATCAAAGAACAGAGTAGGCTGCCCACATAAAAACAACAAGCAATTCACCCACTGAATTGTCCAAAGGACTACAGAGATTAGTGGTACCATAGAAGGATTAAAACAAACAGGGTTAAATACTCTAACCCATCAGTTTTGACAATAAGAAGTTGCATGGACTATTTAAAAAGGAAGAAAAAGAATACTAGGCGTATTTTAGAACATTCTATTATGAATTTAATTTCTGGTCTACAGAAACTGAAATACAAAAGCAAAAGTTTGCAATAAATACTTCTTGTATAGAATCAAAGTAGTAGTGCAAAGTGGTATTTACTTTAAAACTTTCCTTGATTTTAAATATATAACATATTTTCAAATATATGTATACATACATACATATTTATACATATGTATATACACAAGTAACAGAAGAAGATAGAGATTTTTCCTAGCAAGTCATAGGAAAATGTACTGAATAACTTTCATTTAATGATATGAGGTTATTCAATAGGAATTTAAAGGCATCTGATTAAGAAAGTAGGATGCAAGCAGTTACAATGGGGAGTAGATAATCACATCCATATCACTTCACTAATCCTTAGTTATGCATAAGAAGCACATATGTGCTTAAAGAGTATTTGGTTTAAAAAAAAAAAGTCTCCTGACTAGCAAGATAACAAGGATGGTCACAGCTACAATATGACCTATCAAGTTACAAATCTGAGAATACCCAAACTCCGAAGGCACTGTAAACAGACACAAATAATGTGTTGTTTCCTAACTCAGAGTAAACAAGTTCAAAAAAATCACAGTTAAGAATTCTGTCAGAGAAATGTTACTGAACGACCTTAGAAATAAAAAATATATATATGATTAAAAACCTGAGTTTTTATTTGCAGAATCTTCTAGGTTCTCAGCATTTGAAGTGGCTAAATTTTGATCTAGAGAAACAACAGCCCTTTTATCTTCGTAGGTTCTTGCATCTGGGTTATGGTAGGCATCTATATTTTGTCTGTGCATCCTATTCAAATCAGCTGAGAGGGAAAAACAAGCCATTTATTTCAATAAACATTTCTTTAATTACGTTTTTTTAAATAGGGAATCAGAATGAAAAGCAATAGCACACAGCTGGAAATGATTAATTGATACGTTATCCTGAAAACAGAAACGGCATTATCAAAACATTTAGAATTTTCAAAACCCTGTAAAATAAACTCAAAATCAGTAGAGACATTAAAGGCACATAAATCTTTAGTAACTCATAAAAACCATATAAACAATATCTATGTTACTTCACAACTTGAGATTTCTTTCATATGGAATAAGCATGGCAACAACGTGAAGCAAAGCATATCAAAATTTACTCAACCTTATTCATTCTCCTAATGGAAATACACAATCACATGGAGTGTTTCAAAATATGTACACAAATACTCTGATAATCTTCCCTCAAAAAGTTGAGTTTTCTTCTCCCTTCACGGTAGTCTAAAGGTAGTAGTTCATTACTTATAACTCAGGACTTTGGAGTCCACTTCACAAAAGACATGGTTTCCACCTAGTTTGAGCTACAGATTACCTGCATACTCCAAAGAAAGCCAGCCAGCGTATCAGGAGCACACCGAAGGAGCCTTATGTTAAGGCCCATACAGCAAGGTCTCTAAAGAGATACTGAAAAAGATTTTCTTTCTTTAAGATTTAAATATTTATTGAAAGGCAGTATTGGGGAAGGAGAAAGGGACAGTGGGGGGCGGGGGATGCAGAAAAGGAGAGAGGTAAGGACAGACAGATCTTCAATCTGCTGCTTCACTCACCAAATGGCAGCAATGACTAAAGCTGAGCCAAGCCAAACGCAGAACCTTAAACCCCAAGCAGGTCTCCCATGTGGAAGGCAGGAGCCCAACCACTTGGGCCATCTTTTAAGAGTTGCTTTCCGAAGAACCTTAGCATGGTATAGGATCAGAAGCAGAGCAATTAGGACCCAAAGGGTCCCCATATCTAACTCCAGGGTTGCAGGCAGTAGCTAAACGCACTGCATCACAATGCTGGTCCCATTGATGTATTCTCAAGTACATACCAAGTCTTCAGAAGACTGTGGTCCGGCCAGCGCCTGAGACTGTGACCTCAGGAAAAGCCGTGAGGGTGGAGTATCCACCTATCTGAGCTAACCACAAATTACCCACAACACTGCCGAGCAGTGACTTATTATTTTGAAACACTAAGTTTGTAGGTAATTTCTTGCATGTACCAAAACTCTGAATACCCAAAATTAAGTAACCTCGAAAACAGAACTACATGACTGAAGAAGAATTCTTTATCAAAACAAACACTCAACTATTAAACACACACATACCAAAAAAAATCCAAAAGAAGTAGGCAACCTGGCATCATGAAAAACTCACAATTAGAATGCCAGTTAGAACATGGGAAAAAAAACCCAAGTGAATGTTACAAAAGATAAGGGATGTTCAAAATCAAGGAAGGTCAAATCCTACTGCAGCATTCAGGGAACCTTGAATTCACAAAATGAACGGAAGCTCCAAAGATGAAGCATGAGAAAACATAATCAAAATAATGTTAGAAAACCCTCCAAGGAGGGAGAACATAAAGAGTATGTGCAGAGAATCAAGATGGCAGAACAGGATAAGGACATGTTTAAACAGATGGAGAAATATTAGCCAGTGTAAAGCAGAGAGGGCATATTCCAGGAAACAGGAGAGGACAGAACAGAAGCAGACAGGCACCTGGAGACAGACACAGGAAAGCAAGGAAAACAATGATGTGGTGTTGCAATGACTGATGACGCAGTGGCATTCAGTGAACAGCAATATGAACTCCACAGGCAATTTGAACTCCACCAGCAATAAGGTAGGAAGGGATGTTTACCGGGAACTACAGAGGTGAACCCAGACAAAGAGCTGCCCGTCCTACTGGTCTGTTTGATCTGACCAGCAGTAGATCACACACTGGCGGTACAGGAATAGGGTGGATTTCATAGTCCAGTGGGCCTCCTACAACTGACATGGTACCACTGTGTTTAAGGAGGCTAAGGCTATGGACAGAACTGCGTATGCACTGAGATGAGAGTGAATTCATTTCTCATTTAGTGAACTGCAAAAACATGGCATCCTACAGGTTCTACCCAAGATAGGTCCAGGTACCACTCAGAGCTGATGGCAAGCAGATCAAGAACTTTACCACTGGAACATCAGGCACCATTTCATACAGTGTGGCAAGCAACTTAGGACTGCAGAGGACAACAGTGAGCTGCACATGCGCTGAGCTCAACAAGAACTCACTGAGCTCAGTGCATTGCACTGGTCCCACAGAAAAATAATCCTATGGCATCATACAGGTCAAAATCGGTATGTGTGGCCCTCAGACCTAACTGCCAACAGGTTCCAGAAAGCTCACCAGCAGCAACAACCTAGCTATATAGCACTCCTGCTGTCTCCCTGAGCCTGGCACCTGCTCCAACCATAAGTGGGAAAAAGTATATACAGACAACACTGCAGCCTCAGCCTGGTATCACAGGAGCTGGAGACTGGTGAGCCAGCAACTGGGGCTACAGAAACCTTGGTGGAAATGTAACAGAAGAACCCAGACCTGGAACTCACTGGAGGGAGTGGCACAAGTGGCTGCAAACAAAGAGCCATGTGCCAACTGTAACAAGTAAAATCACATTGTAGACCTGTGGGTGACACAGCTTAGAAACCTGCCCCAAGGAGAAGACTCTGCTAACCAGAAGTACAATGACCAAGAGCAAAAGAAGAGACAGAGGCACAATGAATATTCCTGAAGACGCCCCTGCAAACGAGCAAAACCCTTTGCCAGCCTCAGAGTTTACTGAAGAAGACTTTGAAAAAATGGGAGATACAGAATTCAAAACACTTGTTATGAAACTTCTTATCAACAATGAGTAGCACGTAACACAGGAGTTCAAGCAATTCAAGGAATAGGTCGCACAAAAAAAAAGGAATCAAATGAATGCCAACATATCAGAAATGAAGAATACAATGGAGCACATTAAAATAGTGGAGAGTCTGCAAAATAGAATGAAGGAGGCAGAACAAAGAATCTCAGAATTGGAAGATACTCCTGTCATCAGGGAGAAACAAACAAAAAGCTGGAAGCAGAGCCAGATCAGGCCAAAAGAGTATTCAAGAATTGAAATGCACTATTATAAGGCCAAACATAAGAGTTATGGGAGTCTAAGAAAGTGTAGAAAGAGAAGCTTGGTTTACAAATGTATCCAATGAAATAAGGGAAAATTTCCCTAATCTAGAGAAAGAATTGGGAAACAACATCCAGGAGGGACACAGAACTCCCAACATGCTTGACCAAAAGCGATCTTCACCAGGACACATGATCATCAAGCTCTCTTCAATGCAACATAAGGAAAAGATCCTTAAATGTGCACGTGAAAAAAAAAACTGACTATAAAGGAATGCAAATTAAATTCACAGGAGATCTCTCACAGGAAACTCTACAAGCAAGAAGAGAATGGAGCAACATATTCCAGATTCTAAAAGAAAAAAATTTTCAGCCCAGGATAACGTATCCAGCAAAACTTTCCTTTGTCTTTGAAAATGAAAGAAAATCTTTCACTATAAAAAAAGGCTAAAACAATATGCCAATTCCAAACCTGCTCTACAAATGAAACTTAAGATGTTCTGTTGACAGAGAAAAGGAATAGCGCCAACCAAAACCAAGAGCAAATGTGAAGAACATCCCAGTAAAATAACAACAGATGACCAAATCAATGAAAAACCCATTGCCAAACTGACAGGACCAAATTACCAACCATTCATATCAACCCTGAATGTAAATGGCTTAAACTCATCAATCAAATGTCATGGATTAGTAGGCTGGATTAAAAAAATAAAGTCTATTTGTTGTCTACAAGAGACACATTTCACCCACAAAGATCAGCGGAAACTATATTTCTTGGGTTTTGATTTTTTTTCGTTAGTTTCACCTCTTCAAAACACTTTCTTATTAAATTCTTCAATGACTCATAGATCATACAGTAGCATTTTCTTCAAGAAGGTTCTTGATTCTCATTTCTTCAGTGACACATTAGTGATCCAGTAGCATGTTATTTAACTTCATGATGTTGCTAATTTCTTTTTTTGTCTTCCTGTTATTGATTTTGTTTTGTGGCTTTTCATTCAAAGGGATATACAGTAACTGCATAATGGAGACTGTCATATCCAGATGTGAGGATACAATGCAGTATGCATCTCTATTTGCAGACAAAGATGGAATCCCAATGAAACTGTTCACTATATCTTGACAATAAGATATTGGACTCTCTGCCATTAGCCATGCCCGCAATAATGGACATATGACTGTTTATGAAGAGCTAACAATAGTAATGATATAGGGAGAACTCGGTGAGGGGAGAGAGAATTTGGGAGGGGATAAGTGAAATCCCAGGGCCTATGGAACTGTATCATAACCTGATAACAAAAAAAATAAAATTTAAAATAATAATAATCCTAAAACAATTTTTAAAAATCTTTGAGAGGATTAATGTGGTGGCATAGCATGCTAATCATTGCCTGTGACACTGGCATCCCATATGGGCATCAGCATCCAATATGGGTGCCAGTTCTTATCCCAGCTGCTCTACTTCCAATCTAGTTCCCTGCTTATGGCCTGGGAAAAAACTGCAGAGGAATGCCCATGTCATTGAGTCCTTGCATCCACATGGGAGACCTGGAAGAAGCTCCTGGCTTCTGATCAGCTCAGACCCAGCCACTGTCACCATTTGGGGATTGAACCAACAGATGGAAGATCTGACTGTCTCTCTTTCTCCCTCTCTCTCTGAAACTGTGACTTTCAAGAAGAAAATACATAAATATAAAAAAAGTGTAACTGAGCTATCATTACACATAACAAAGTTGGTAAAATAGTAAAGCAGCACAGTTTTTTCTTAAAGAGCTAAGGTAAAGGTGATGTTTCCATTTCTTCAATTTCTTTATAGTTAAAAATCAAAAGAAAACAACAGCAATCAGGAAAGCCAGCAGAATTAAAGGTCATCAAAATCTAAGCCAAAATTGTGGCAAAGTAGATGAAAGCACTGCCTATAATGCCAACATTCCACATGGGCACTGGATTGTATCCCAGGTGTTCTGCGTCCAATCCGGCCTCCTTGGTAACGCAACTGGACAGCAATGGATGATGGCCCAATTGCGTGGCACTTGTATTGTATCAGAGACCCAAAAGAAGCTCCTATGTTTGGCCTGGCCCAATCTTGGTAGTGAAGGCCATATGAAGATATGGAATATCCATTTCTCTCTCTCCCTCTCTTTGTCTCTGGAACTTTGCCTTTCAAATAAACACATAAAATAAGCTAAAAAAGTAAAGTTAACCAAGAGAAAGTACAAAAAATAAAAAGTCTGGGTTATCACACTGTTCTTTACACATTACAAATAAAGTATGTTACTTCCTTCACTAAAACATAACAACCACACAGAAAACAAACTGATATTGTTTAAGTAATGAGTTAATTTGATTTGAAAAATACCATTAAAAATTATTTCATACTTAACAGCATGCCTGGAATATTAAATAAGCAAATTAAATACTGCTACTAAAAACAGAAATTTTAAAAAAGTTCCTCCACTGCTGCTGAGATAAGCAATTCTGAAACAGTGACTCACACTTATCCTACTCAACTTTATGTACACAAAACACTGCAAAGCGAATTATGTGAACTGGAAATGATCTTAAAAGCAGTCTGGAAAATTCCAGAACATTGCTACCAATGTTTCCCAATGCTTCAGTCATTAAAGCACTCTTTCATAGTAACCAGTATATTTCTAACAATTTAAAATGTACATTTAGGACAGACTATTTGTTTGTCAATCTTATGTGCTCCTCCAAGGCATAAAGAAATTTCTTAACCTTGAAAACATTAGCTAGATGTGAACAATGGAATGAAGGCAAGGGTGGCATTGCATAATTCTAGGCCAGCTCCCAACCAGAGTCTCAACTTGCTCTCACCAACACCTACATTCTGTCTGCTCAGCTCTAAGCGAAGGACTTCACAACGGACTCACCTACTGGAGAACAACTGCCCACCATCATAAGAGAGAAGTAGACTGGCACTGCCTTTAGTCTTGAGCATTTGAGCTTCTTTATGAGAGCATTTTAAATAAATGTATGTATTCATACATCTGCAATGGGAGATATCTTTAAAAGGAAATGGGCAGTGGGGAGTATTTCGCCTAGCAGTTAAAGACTTCCCTTGTGTACTGAGATACTGCAACTGCAACCTAGGAAACAAGTAATGACTCAAGTAGTTGGGTCTTGGCCATCCACAAGGGTGTACTGAATTTGCAACTCCTGGGAATTTGGAGTAAACCAGCAGATGGAAGATTTCTGTCTCTCTCTGTCATTCTCACCGTGTGTGTGTGTGTGTGTGTGTGTGTGTGTGTGTGTGTATCGAAAAACAATTTTCTAAAACATTATGTAAGAAATGTTCATTTATGTATCACTTACATGTCTTTAAGAATGTATACCATGGAAGTAAAGGAATAATATGCATTCTAGTAACTCAATTGCAAAACTGAAATTTCATCATTGATCCATCCCTGTAACAAGTTGCATCCCCTAAACAGCAACATGAAATCTACATTTTCACCATTTTGATATGTACATTTTTATTATCCTTTATTTCTTGCTTTTAATTGATGCTCAATATCCATTTTCTTAATGTTAGTTTTTGTTTAGGTACAACTTAATCAAAGACTATAACAAAAACAGGTATTCCTTAACTTAGGATGAGGTTAAATTCTAATAAACTCATCATAAGTTGAAAAGGCATTTAATGCATCTAATCTTCTGAACACCAGAACTTAACACGTGAAACACGTCACAGAGTATTTGTTGTTTGCCCTCATAATCATGACTGGCTGGAGGCCCATCATTCATTCATTGTCACTGTCCAGCATCAAGAGACAGTGCAATACTACATATTGCTATCTCACTAAAAGATCAAAATTCAAAATTTAAAATTTGGTTTCTACTACATACATGTTTCTACAATATCATAAACTCAAGCAAAACCAACAGGAATTTGGAGACTAATGGCATATGCAACAAGGCACATAAAACCCCTTTTCAAACTATGAGATTAGATCAATTTTTATCAGTGTATAATGGGAAGATCAATAAAAACACTTCCACAACTCACTAAAATGTATCTGCGATCAAGCCTATTTTATTCTGTAAAGGAGTTCTTGCATTAAGTTCCTTTTCTACAACAATGTAAAATGTAAGATGCCTTACAAGTTTATGAAGAAAAAACTATTTAAACTGTAATATGAATTTTATTATTTTTATTAGGAGATTAAGAAACTGTTCTGATTACTGCGGTGAACACCAAATAACATAAGTTTTCTCTACAGGTCCATCATCATCAGATGATAGAAAACTTTACACAAATGAGTAATACTGTGAAGAAGAAAAGCTTTTAACCTCTTAATAGGTCATTAAAGTACTTCTTTTTCATTAATTTAAACAAAGGGAGCACTTGCTTTACAGTTTATGACTCCCACATCTTGCAATCTCTACTCTCAATTTTAGACAATTAAATGACAAAGTTTATATATAAAGCAGTAAGTCAATAGAAATAACGTACTTATCAGATTTCCTTTTGCATCCCTGAGAGGAGCACCACCTCCACCTTTTCCCCAGGGGTTGTAACTTCTCATTTCTGCTTCTAATTTAGCTTCATATTCTTCTTTCTCCTCACGTTCTTTCTTCCTTCTTTCTTCCCTTTCTCGAATCTTAGCAACATAAGATACATTTAATTAATATAACAGGTTAGTACTATCACATGTAATTTTATCTTTCCCATTAAAAACACAAAACCAGATATATTTTATTCAATGCACTTCATTATAAAGTTGAAAATTCCTTTTTTTAATATATTTTTATTTTGAATTCTGAATTATGTGGTACATTTTCATATACGCTGGATTCCATGAAAACTCCCACCCCCAACAGATGTTCCCCATTTTACTACAATAGTGTAGTCCTTCATAAGGAACCATAATTCTATTAGTTTCTTATTCAAGTATACCCCGACATTATTGGTACAGGCTATCAGGCATTCCAGCATCCCATTGTCTACACATGTCCAACAATTTCATTGGGAATCTATCTTTAGTCTGAAAGTAGGGATGCATGTTCCATTATTCCCCCACATCTGTACACGATAGACCCCAGCACTCCATCACTATACATTTCCATAACTTAGAAGCCATGAAACCAGGTAAACAACTGGTATGAGTTAGAACAGCCACAACAACAACATCAACAACAAATTACAGCACCTCTAAGTGACCAACACATGAATGACAAAAAGGAAACACAAAGGTGTCTTGGGAAAAACAATGCCACCGTGTAGTGCATGAGCCAGTGATGAATTCGATAAAAAAAAGGGATTATTTGGAATGAACAAAACTTAAATAAAAAGCATCAAAACACATGGGATACAGCCAAAAAAGCAAACAACCAAAAAACAGAATGGATCAGATTATTGAAGTTACACTTCCCATGTTAGTTTCCTTATATAAGAGACAACATATGGTATTTGTTCTTTAGTGATTGACTCATTTCACTGAGTATAATGGTCTCTAGTTGGGCCCACCTGGTTGTAAATGGTATAATTTCATTGTTCCTAACACAGGTAAAACCCAACCAAAAAATACTTAGGTGACTGGAATAAGTAGCTACTGTCCCCCAAATCAAGCCCCCAGAGGCCTTTCCAAGGGAACATGAAGATTTCCGTACTTTGCTTTTACATCAATCTTTTCATGAAAACTGCCTAGTTATCATCTACCTCCTAGGCAAACTTGATCCTCCAAATTGAGGGAGAAGCTGAAGATTCCAAGTTCTTTTAACAATAGTAGCCTACTTTACATACAGTTTGATGACTGCACATAAAACAAATACATTTTGGGGCCAGCACTGTTTATTAGTCAGCTAAGCCTTTGCCTGTGGTGCTTAGCTCCTCCATTTCCCAGCCAGCTCCCTGCAACTGTGCCTGGGTAAGCACTGGACAATGGCTAAGTGCTTGGGCCCCTGCACTCCCATGGGAAACTGCTAAGAAGCTGCTGGCTTCTGGCTGGAGCAGCTCTAGCCATTGAGGTTATCTGGCTAGTGAGCCACTGGATGGAAAAGCCTCTCTCTAACTCTGCCTTTCAAAGAATAACACTTGGAAAAAAAATAGAAATAAATTCTTACCATTACTAACATAAGTGCACAGTCATTATTTACAGACATATGAAAAGACAGTGAACAAGTATGTACAGTTGGGAAAATCATTTTTAAAATCATAACCATATACAATGATGTATTTAGGCAAAGTTTCACTGCATCATGGCCAAAAGGATCAACATATACAGAAAATATTTTCACAACAGAAAACTGTTTTCATCAGATTTATATGTTCATCCAAAAAACAGATTCTGAATTTAAAAGTCAGTCTTTCATTTATAGAATCTAACACTTAAGAAAGTTGGTAATTCCATATTTTTGGGGGGGGGAAAAAATGGTATCTTTCAAGAAAGTTACCATGCAGAAACTGAATGAAAACATTAAAAAAAATCCAATAGAAACTTTATAGAAAAGTACTTCAGTTAATTTACAGCTACATCAAAAATCAAGCCCTCTCAAAAACAAAGGAAACCCCTGCAAAATGTATGCATTTGATGCAGATGCTCTAGGTAAACAGCCTTCAAACATACACTACAAACTACACAGAAACTACTGTGCTCATCTAACACGTTATGCTTCTTTAATTTCCCATCTTGGTTCAGTCTCACTATTCTCCTTGATTAAAATATTCAGAATCATCTTCAAGCCCTCTGTTCTTAATTCTTCCTATGAGGATTCTTGCTAATGAAACCTCAGAATTGCCTCGTAGATATCCTTCACAGGATCCCATCTGGGTCAGAGCCTCACTGCCTCCTGGCTCAGCTACCTCCCTAGTTCACTGTAAGATTTATCTGACACAAGTGCTTTGCCATGGTATCTATCATAACCAATTATCTTTCTAACAGGGAAATTTGTTAGTATTAACCAATGTTTTTACTCTAATTGGCATAAAACCTCTTTCCTTTGGCTGGCTTGTGACAGCATGAAATTGAAAGTGCCTCATCAAAAGATAGAAAGCAGAAAAGGTTGGACAACTCTCCTGGTCAAGCTTTGCAACAGGAGTCTAGGTCTGTGGACACTGAGGTGAACCTGATCAGCCAACAGACCTTGAAGATTCTCAACTCTGGAGCAACAAAGTCAACAATGTGTTCAGAACTATCAAAACTACTCAGGTAACATCCTGGGAACCGTCCCCACATCAGGGTCCTTGAGCAGTCACCAAATGACCATCCATCCTCCCTAGATGCTGTTGTACTTTGACAGCAACGAGCAGCTGCCTTTCATTCCACCAGTACAGACACAAAAGAAGCCATACAGGCACCTGGTACATAGCCTGCTATTCTACTTGCCATCTAGACCTGCTTGTGGCCTGGGAAAGCAGCAGAGGATAGCCCAAGTCCACCCACATAGAAGACCAGGGGAGACTCCTGGCTCTGGATCAGCTCAGCTCTGGCCACTGCAACCTTTTGGGGAGTGAATCGGCAAAGGGAGGATCTTGCTCTCTGTCTCTCTTTCTCTCTGTAATGCTCTCTTTCCAATAAAACAAATAAATCTTCTTAAAAAGGAAGAAGGGAGAAGAGAAAGAATGAAAAAGAGGAAGAGAGGAAGATGCAGGAAAAGAAAAAGGAAGGGAAGGGGAAAGGAAAAGGAAAGGCAGGAGAAAGAAAACTGAAGCCACCCTTCCTCCATACCCGGACCCTCCCCACCTAATCAGAGAGCCATATGGGAATACCTTCCTCAACTAGGCAAACAATATTAAAAATAAAACAAAACCTCAAAGATAATAAGATAGTCAAAAATAAGGAATAAAATTATAAGGGTTCATTGCACTGATACATAACATGTTTCAACATCAAACAAATCAGTGAACAGATGGATTACCTGCTGCTGCAAGGCTTCTTGGTAGGACTGAAGTGATTGTTTTGAAGGTTTTGGCTTATCTTCAAAAAACAATCCTGAATTTACTGCTTGATCACTTGTAACTTTCACTTCTTTCTGCCTAATCATATTCCTGCATCAAATACACAATTAAGGATCTGAATCCATCTATTATTAAAAATTAAAGTGTAAAAAGAAAATACAACATTCATTTAAAATAGTGTCACATAAAAAACACATTTAAAAATAGAGGATATTATGCTATAGATCGAAGAGGAGTGTTTAAGTGATCTCTTCCTGAACTCTCCCTCCTGTCTTTGCTCGCACAATCCATGGAACTACCAGCAACACTGGATCTATTTCTTGTTCTACATTCTAGTTACAAAGAAGAAAAAAAAAACTATCTAATCCATGAAGTCACACATGTAGGACTTAATTACTTTTGTGAATATAACAAGCACACCAAAGTCTGCTACTACACAAGTAACGCTGTAATCAATCATGACTTCATAAAATTACTCTCTAACCATCTCAAAAAAACGGAATTCCAGGGAAGTTGGATTTCTTCAAATAAAATAAAAATTTCCGAAAAAACATCAAAAACTTAACAAAATTTTAAACATATTATGGTTATAGAACCCATTACAATAGAGTGCTATTTCTTAAACTCCGCATGTTTAAGTGCCAAAATGAATCTGCTTTAAGAATACATTTTTTAAACATAGGATAAATTCAAACAATTTTACGGTGAAATCATAACTATAAAGTGTTTTTTTTTACTTCCATCATTAAACAATGAGTGTTGTGCATCTAACTTTTTATAATCTTCTATTAACTAAACAAATGTTTTTGTACACCATCACACTGAATTATGAACAGGTAAAGGGAAAAACAAAGAAAACCAGAGTAAATGGTTCTCTACCCACAATTCACTTTTTCAGAGCAAAGAAACTCTTCATGTGCAAATGAATACAGAAGACTGAAGACTTTACCTGAGTAAACTCAATCTCCCGAAATCTACCGTGAAAAGACTTTCTCAGCTTCCATTTTTTAATTATTATCCTTACTGACTTCTACTCCTAACTCACAGACCCAAGTGTCTGTTATTTATAAACTCCTCCCTCATCCAATGAAAAAAATGGCTTAAGGATGTATATAATATGATCAGGACAGGAAGAATATGCAACTAAATAGTTTCTGAAAATTTATACAGCTGTACAACCATCACTAAAATCGAGTTTGGGACCACTTCCATAACTCACAAAATACCCCGGACATCAACGCGCAATCAAAGCCTGCTCCTTTGCACAGCCCGAGGTGATCACTAAGTAACTTGCTTTCTGTCTCTATACTTGCCTTTTCTGGGTGTGCCATATGATAGAACCATAGCATATATGGGTTTTTTCACTTAAATAGTTTCAAGGTCCACCTATATTATAATTCAATCTTTTTTAATGCTGAACAATATGTTTCTAATTCATCCTTTAACTGATTAAAATTTAAATTGTTTTCATTTTCTGGCTATCATGAATAATGCTATGAACATTCACACATAAACCTATGTTTATTTTTATTTATTTGATTACATGACAGGAAATAATTTCAGGGTTATATGATTAAGTTTAAGGTTTTCTTATGAAATTGCTACTTCCTATAACTGCTTTTTATATATTGATTTTTTTTATTCAGTACGCCTGATGGAACCCCCGTTAATTCATATATGTTATTTTGTAAGCTGTATTAATTTCCTCTGTTTCTTCTTCATTATTGTGCCTATTATCCTGTTTCCTACTCTTTTCAGTCCTACTGTACCTTACTGGGCCTCTGAAAAGTAGTCGTGACTAAGAAAACTCTCAAAAAAGTGCTTTAAATGCAACATCATTACACAAATACACAATTAAGGGTCTTCATGTTTATACTGTTTTAGGTTATCTAGGTTCCTTCCATCCCTAGTTACTGCTTAAATTTTAAGCACTAATGGATACTAAATTTTACTAATTTTTTTTTTCATGTATTGGCATGATCATGCAGCTTCCTTCTTACTTTGTTAACAAGGTCTACTATAGTTTATAATACTAATGTATGTTACACCAATTAGTTCTTAGTGTTTATCAGGAACTGCCAGACATTATACAGATTTTAATTCATTCAATCGTCAGCAAAAATCCTTTGCATTGACCTTATTAGCCAATTAACAGATAAGGAAATTAATAAATTTGCTTCAAGATAATGAGCAATAACACCAGGATTCAAATCAAGGCAATCTGGCTGAAAACTCCATACTTGTGACACATTCTACTACATCTAATCCATCCCTATTTCACAATAATTCTAATTTTAAACAAAGTATTCTTCTACTGTATGGCAAGGCCCAGTTCTAGAATTCTTGAGTTTTGAGTACAGGGGAAAGGTAGAGAAACACAGGCAGAGGTGGAGAAGAAAGGAAATGGAAAAGGAGGGGAAAATAAGAGAATAGGAAGAGGAGGAGGAGAGAGGGAAGGGAAAGACCAAGTGGGGAGGGGAAGGAATCAAACAGGAACAAAGGGTGTAACACCTGAAAAGAAGTGTGTCAGGAGCTACACCACCACCTACGATGACGGCATCCCCTGTCAGAAAAGTAGCTCAATTATCCATTATCCAGCCCTGATGATGTGCCTAGTAGAAAGGAGGCAGAAGATGGCTCAAGTACAGGAGCCTCCTAATCTACAAGCAATGGATGCAAATCTAGGCTCTTGACTTCATCCTGGACCACCTCCAGCCCCAGCCATTGGGGCCATACAGAGTGAACCACAAGATACAGGATCTCTCTTTTCTTCTAACTCTCCCTTTCAAATAAATAAATCTTTAAACAAAAAGGAAGAAAAATTCTCTAGGGAGACTCAATGGTACATCTGAGCAGGCAAAAGAAGCAATCAGCTAAGTTGAATAAAGTAAACTGAAGTGAACACCTCCTCAGAGATCTTGTGGGACACCACAAATACATCAACATATGGGAAAGGAAAGTCTCAGGAGAAAACAGAAAAGGATGTAAAAAACATTTGAAAAAACCATACAAAGAAGTTTCTCAAATACAGTGAGAGATATTACACATTAAGTTTTCAAACTACAACTCAGAAAAGCTCAAAGAATCCACACTTCCACACATTACAGACACTGTTAAGAGAGTCCAAGAAAATCATCACTCAGCATATAAATGGAATCCTTGAGGTGATTAAAGCAATTTAATGCAAAACTGTAAGGGTAATAGCCTAGGAAGCAGTGGCAGAACATAATAAAAGCACTGAAAGAAAAGGATTATCAAAATGCAGAGGGCACTGAGTCCAGCAACCTAGACACTTATGTTCCAAAGACACCTGGATCTGATTATCACCTCTGGCTACTGACTCTAACTTCCTGCTGAACAAGACCCTAGGAGACAGTGCTGACACCTGAGTTTCTGTCACACAAGGGGCAGAACTGAATTGCAATCCAACTCTTCAACGCACAAACTGCAGACATTTAAGGAATAAAACAGCAATTAAGAGCTCTCTGGATCTCAATCTCTATCAACAAGTAAACAAATAATTTTTAACTCAAAAATGTCGAAGAAATTCTGTATCAGCTAAAATTATTCCTCAAAAGTAAAAAAGAAATTAAGATACTATTACATAAGAAATCACCAGTAACAAATTTTTTTGCATGAAATACTACAAAAAAAACCCCTTACATTTAAATGAAAGAACATCTGATAATAACTGGAATGAATACAAATAAATAAAGTGCACCAAAAAAGGTAATTATGTGGATAAATATAAGTATCTGCTTAAAAAGATAATTACTATGATAAATATCAGCATCAAGGCAAAGAGCAATGACATTAGCATACTGGGAGAAAGCTTATACATTACCAAAATCAGTTTGGTATTAACCCATCATCCTAAATATAGAATACTGATATGACCAAAATTTTATAATATATCACTTATGATAACTTTGAAATAAATGTCACTGAAATAAAGATATAAAAACTGGGATCTAACATACTAACCTAAAATCAATTATTTTCAACTAAGGAATTAACTTTTTTAAAAGATTTATTTATTTTTAGTGGAAAGGCAGACATAGAGAGAGAAGGAGAGACAGAGACAAAGATCTTCCGTCCACTGATTCATTCCCCAAGCAGCTGGACCAGCTGGAGCTGAGCTAGCTGATCCAAAGCCAGGAGTTTCTTCCAGGTCTTCCTTACAGGTGCAGGGTCCTAAGGCTTTGGGCCATCTCTCACTGCTTTCCCAGGCTACAAACAGGAATTGAGATGGGATGTGAAGTAGTCAAGTCACTAACAGGCATCCATATGAGATACCACCATGTGCGAGAACAGAATTTAGCCACTGAGCCACTGTGCCTGTCCTTAAGGAATTAATTTTAAACTGCAAGGAAGCCTGAAATTTCTAGGAAAACAAAGGAATTAAAATGCAATGTTATTAAACATTTAACAAAAAGAGCAGCAGTATAGGAGGACAGAAAGAAAAAAAAGACATAAATCAGAAAAAAATAATAGTAGGCACACATAAATCTTTAACAGGAATTACATTAAATATAAAACAAAAACAAAGGCTGGCAGAACAGATTTTTTTAAAAATTAGAAATTAAAAAAGATCACCGCTTTCCATCTACACACAGACAGCCTTTAGATTCAAAGCACAAATACACTGAGGATATTATGGGAAATTATACATTACACAAACAGTAACTAAAGATAACCAGAACATCATCATTTATACCAGAAAAACACAATGAGACAAAAATTAGGGGCTGTCATGGGTGGTATCGATTAAACAACTGCCTGAAATGCTAGCATCCCATGTGGTTGCTGGTTCAAATTCTGGCTTCTTCACTTCAAAACCAACAACCTACTAATACATGCACCTGGGAAAGCAGATGACGCCTCAAGTGCTTCAGATGGTGGCTTTGGCCCGGCCACCCCAGGCCCTTATGGCCATCTGGGGAGTGCCTCAAACATTCTCATTCATATTCATTCATTCATTCATTCATTCATTCATCCTCCTTCCCCCTCCCCTCTTCTCCCCTCCCCCCCTCTCCTCCTTCCCTCCCTCTCCCTCCCCACCCTCTCCCTCCTTCTCTCTTCCTCACACA